CCCGCCCTCCCCTCCCCTACACCCAACTGCCCTTTGCTCAATGCCGGCCAAGTATGGACTCTCATTCCGGGAAAAGGTTTTCAACAAAGCCAGAGCCTTTGGAGGAACAACAGAGGAACAATAGGGGGGGCATAAAGGAGTGTTGGCAGAGGTTAAGGGTTTAGGGGTTTAGAGGTTTTAAGGATTTAAAGTTTCTAGGTTGGAGGGACTAACGGGAGTGAGGGCACCATGGTTAGACCATTGCACAAGGAAACTCTGAGTCCACCGCACAGAACCGGGAATGGATGGAAGGATGGAAGTAGGAGATCTTAGACAGAAAGTGGGCCCTATTGCTGCCTGTGCTCGATAAGTACTGAAGAAACCAAGGTGCTAGCACAGAAGCCTCCAGAGAAGGCAATGGAGTCCACCTGTGTATGCTGACACGGTCACAATATGGTCACATACGTTGCTCACTTGGTAACAAGGATCTCTTCATCCCGCTGAGGCATACAGATCTACCACAGATCTACCATAGATCACTACTCACACTACTTACTCAACACACTCACATTATACATCATGTTACACAACTGGGATACAAAAGCAACACAGCATAACACTGTCGCACACGGCAGATGGAACCCTTTTCCAGCACAGGCACACGAAGCACGGATCATACAGATTGCATCGACACAAACACACAAATACACAAGCACGCAAGCACTCACACCATACACACCATACACACGGCAGATGTGATCTCGGGAGGGAGGGCACACGGGGGTGGCCAATGGCTGCCTGACATGGTCACAGTAGCATATAATGGACACAATGGGCTGGGTCAGCAGCCCAGATTGCAGTCCAGGCCCGAGACAATACACAATGGCAATGGTGCCGGGTGAGTCGGGTGACTGATTAAAGATAGAAAATTAGAAATCATAGATCTCCAGAACACACACCAATACTTTCAGCCAGGATACACTGAACGACGCCCACGCCTTGGGCGAATCACAACTACACTAAGCCAAACAATTGAGTTGTATAGGGACGCTGGACCCAATTTCAAGCAGGTGTTGCTCCCCACCAATAGATGCAGCCTTCCATACTGGCTTAAGGAGAATGCTCTTATCACCTCGTTAAGCAGATCATTGGACCCCATCTTCTTCTCCCGCTTCCTCTTCTTCCTCTTCTTCCTCTTCTTTGCTCCTCTTAAGTAGAACATGAGGACAGAATACCTAGCGGATCATTGGACCCCATCTTCTTCTCCCGCTTCCTCTTCTTCCTCTTCTTCCTCCTCTTCCTCCTCTTCCACTTCTTCCTCCTCGTCTTCTTCCTCTTCTTCCTCCTCCTCTTCTTCCTCCTCCAAGTCATCTATTTCGGACTCGTCAGCTGCAAAACGGCGAGAACCAGTACAGTCGGCTTCGAGCAGGATCTCCCTTCGTCCGTCCGGCCAGTGTTTCTCTATCTGTCCATTTGGGAGATGGAATTCTTCGGTCCCATCTGGAAATGTAACATGCCACGTATCCATCGAAGAATAGAAGTACTCCATGCGGCCATCCCGGTAGCTGTTCTTTACGTCTCCGTTGGTAAACCGAATGCAAGAGCTTCCATCGGCATAAAATTCTTTTCTTGACCCATTCGGGAAGACGACACTCTTTACAGCAAGCTGCTTCTCCGTAGTCTTCAGATAGCTAGAGGCAATCACGTCCATATCCTGGCGTTCATGTCCAGTAATCCAAGGCAACGGCGATGCAGAATTCGACCGGCAAGGATCGAAGGATACGGCCTTGGACCGAACGGGAGCTGCTGCAGTTTTGTTCGTGTCATCATCCACTTGGAGCAACGACCTACCACCATTCCTAGGCAACATAGAGAACCGATGGTCCCTGTCACCTCCGCAATTCTCATTATACTTTTCCTCATTTCCCCCCTCCCCCTCCTCCACCTCCTCCTCCTCCTCTTGCTGCTGCTGCTGCTGCTTCTGCCGCTGCCGCTGCACTTCCTTGTCCCTAGTCTCCTCCACGTGGTGCTCGCGCATGCGACAAATTGAGCTGTCACTCCCCCCCGAGTTTCCCCCGCCATTAGCAAGTCCTATGCCCCGAACCGTCAACTCCGCGGAGTAGAGTCCCCCGTGCTGCGCGTTTGCCCCGCTGCGCTCGTCTTCGCGCGCGGATATGGCGGCTGCTGTCCTTGCAGTACTGCCATCGCCGCCGCCGATACTGTGCAGACGATCTTCATCGTGAGACGCCATAGCCGAACCAACTGCTCTGCTGCTGCTGGCTGCGTGTATTGTCCGATGATCATAGTGACGATGCTGCTGATTATCTTCATCCTTGTGCCGACGATCGTCATCGTCGTGGGACGCCACAGCCGTACCTACTGTTCGGCTGTTGTTGGCTACGTGCATTGGCCGATGATGCTGATGATTATCTTGATTCTGCCGCAGCTGCTGTTTCTGCTGCTGCTGCTGCTGCTGCTCTTGCGAATCATGATGATGATTATGGTGTCTTTTTGCAATGCTGGCCTCCGTGACAAGGACAAATGCTCGACGACGAGCCGCCGCTGATGAACGTGCGGGGTCAATGGCCGGGAATCCGCCACGTGAACTGGCAGGAAAGCTATCGTTTGCATCAACGCAGCAGCTATGGTGGTCATCTCGATCCTTATCATCATCAGCACACCCAACAGCACCATCCCTAGAGACGGAGTTCTCATGCCCGTTCGTGTAGTCATCCTCCTCCTCTTCTTCCTCCTCCTCCTCCTCCTCCTCCTCCTCCTCATCATCATCATCATCATCTTCATCGTCGTCATTATCCCAGTCATCCTTCAGATTCATCACACACTCTTCAACCTCATGCTCATCATCAAGAATCTGACGTGGCACATCACAAAGCCTTCCCGAACCATTTTGCCATCTCCTTCCCTCTTCAGCACCGTTTTTGCCCTCCTCACCGTCTCCCTGACCTCGACCAGACTGGCCGCGACAGCAGCCATTGGCCGAGATCCCAACTCTTTCATCACCGCTCTCCTCCCTCTTCGTCCCTGCCCAAGTGTCCCGATGAACAGCAAGAATGCGGTTAGTACAGCTGCTGCCCCGACGATCCTTCCTGCAACAGATTGGCATGTCTCTCCCATTGGCATCCTCCCCCTGCTGCCTGTGTACTGCGTTCAAGTAACTCCTTTGAGTCCTTTCCTCTCTCTTCGCCAGAGGGTCTCCACCATTCCCGTCAGCAGCATGGTAGTCCTCCTCGTCCCCGACTTCAGATCCCAATTTTGACTTTGACTTTGACTTTGACTTTGACTCGATCTTGGACATGGGCTTAGGTTTGTGGCCGTCTTCCTTCGCCCACAGTGGTAATGACGTCAGCTTGACACTTGGTTCTTCGTTACTCAGAGTCGGATTTGAAGACGCCATCCTGTCCCCGACGCCTCGACCGTGAGTCCTCGTTGTCGTCCCTCTCCTCTCTCCCTCCAATCGAGGGTGTATTAACAAGTCACTTCCTCGTTCTCCCACTCTTGTTCTTCCTCCTCCTCCTCCTCCTCCTCCTCCTCCTCTTGATTCTGCCGCTACTGCTGCTCTCGACGAGGATACCTCTTTCCCTCCTGGGAACATGCGGTCGGAACCAGCAGCTGCAGAAGATGAAGAAGAAGAAAGGCTGCCATATCCAACTCTCACCATCCCCAATTCTTCGGTGAATAAAGCCGTGCTTTCGTCGTCATTGTCCCCTAGACGGGGATTACGCCACTCTCGCTGCGCCGTCTTGCCTTCCATTTCACCCAACAGTTCACGTCCTCCGGCCTTCATCGAGCTCGCCGGTGAGTGCAGCCTCCCTGCGGCAGCTTGCTTCCACCCCTCCGTCTCCCCCCTACAGCCAGTCGTTGGTTCTTCCGCCAGGAAGCCATGATTACTAAGCTCAGGAGGTGCTCCCCCTGGCCTTCGTCGTCCCTGTCCTCCCCCTGCTACTCTCTCTCTCTCCTCCGATCTTCCATTCGTACGTGTCATAGGTGCAATCGGACGAAAGAGGGAGTTCATAGCCATGGCACCATTACCGGCCATCGAGGGCTTCTTTGAGGAGGACTTCGACTTCATACCAAGCAAGGTATCGAGCAATGGCCGCACATCATCACCGACTGTCACCGCCATACCTGCAGTTCTCCGCTTCCCGGCGTCGTCTTCTTCCTCTTGTCCCCTGGCATTGTGTTCACGACCTCTGCTGCCGCTGCCTTCTCTCTCCATCGCTTGCTCCTCCACCATACCCTTGGCCATCACTGTCATCACATTCTCTCTCGACGTTTTCTCCTTCTCGTTCCTCTGAGAGTTCTCCCAATTGCCACCACCTACCGTCCCTCTCCTCCCTTTCTCTCCAGCCTCGCCTTTCTCCTTCACCTTCTCCCTCCCCTCCCTGTGCATTACCACCCACCTCTCCTCCTGCCGGCACAGCTCGTCCTCCAGTTCCTTAATCCGATCCGTTAACGACTGAATGCGCCTCCTCATCCTATCCTCGCCCAGACGCCAGCGAAGCTCTCTCTTCTTGTGCTCGCTCTGAGCTCGCGCCAGCTCCCCCTTGGCCTCCTGGGCTATCGCCCGTTCCTTCTTGCTAGGAAGGCGGAGGAGAGCTCTTGCTTGATTTTCCACCACCCGCTGGCTGCGCCGGAGCTTGCGCATTTCCTCCGCTCGTCTTTCCTCCCAAGAACGGGCTTCCTCGACCTTGTGCGCCTCCCAAGCTACACGCTCCGCAGAGAGCCGACCAGCTTCTTCCTGGTTTTGCTTGTACAGTCGTTCCAACAGTTCATTCTGCTTCTGGAACTTAGAGATTTCTGCCTCCAACGCCGCCACTTTGGCAGAGACGTCCTTCTTCTGATACGAGTTGGAGGCAGCTGTCCCCTGCTGCTGCTGCTGCTGCTGCTGCTGCTGCTGTTGCTGCTGCTTCTGCTTGTTGCCATCGCCAGACTGGGGCTTAGCAATCCCTCCATGGCCGTCATCATCTTCCTCTCCATTCCGTGAACGACGCCCTCGTGGTTCTTGGACGTCCACCTTGGCGGCCGCTACGTGGGCCCGTTGCTTGTCCTTCACATGGAACCAAGTCTGTACCAGCTTGGAGATCCCGCTTTCCTGTGCCGATTGGGAAGCTCCTTTCCCACGCATGATGGATGGCTGATTGGATTTTTGCTTGTTGGGCAATCTTTCAGCTTAGTTACTCAATGGCTACTATTACCGTCTTCCCCCGAACATAGCGCACCCTGAAAATGAACGTATACAAGGTATGTTTCCCGGCCGATACAGGCAAAATAAGGGTGCGTTGTGTTCGGGGGAAGAGGGTAGTTAGATGTAGATCATGTAGCCGTGTTGCTGGCTATTTGCCCGCCTGGCTAGCGGACTCCAGCCGCTTGCCTGACTGGCTATATGCCTGTATCTGGTCGGCTATTTGGCTAGCTGTCTATAGACCTATAGACGCCATCTATCTGACTACTATAGCTCACTGGCTACCCATTTAGCAGGCTGGCTGTATGCGGCCTGCTTGGCTGGTAGCTCGCTGGTAGTTGGGAAGCTCTTGTGTGTCTCCAGAAGCGAAAAACATAAAGTTAAAAACGAGAGCGAATATATTCGCATCCCTTGCTGTCTGCCTTCTGATACTGCCTTTAATTTTTGGGAAAATCAAGGATGCGTTTCAGTCACGATCTCGCGAATGCTGAGCCAAAGCGAGTAAAATCGGGAATGTATACAACCTAGCTTTAGCGTCAGGTGGGGATGTGTATTTGAGGGACGCCTGAACTGGATTTAAAACTGAGATCGTGACTACCCCTTTTTTCTTTTCTTTTTTCGGAGTTGTTCTTTCCTTCCTTCCTCCCTTGCTTCCATATCTTGCTTTCTATCGTTCCTTCGTTCTTTGTTTCTTTGGTTTCTTGCTTGATTGCTTGCCTGCTACACCACCTGTAGCGAGTTCATCCGCGAAGCAGTGTTGGTTACTATCTACTGAGGCACTGCCCTGTTGGGAGAACCATGGGGATAAGACCAGCTTTACTTCTAGCGAGATCTCCGCGAAGCAGGAACCTTTGGCCCACGTCTTCTTAAACCACCAGTACCCCAGGGGGTCTTAGGCCCCCTGTGGGGAGGCTCTGATACAAATACATAATGGACCCGCGCGGCGCACCGATTCAGCCACCGCGTTAACGGCCTAAAAATGTCGAGGTACTGGTGGTTTAAACCATGTAAGTCCCCTACCTTTCTCTTATCTGCGGTTGGGGCACCAGTCAGCTCTAATTTCATTTGCCTGAAGGGACTTGAAAAGCTCAGTTGCATGGTTATCAGATAGCTCAGTTCCGTCGAATCTTCTTGCATCCCGATCCTTCCAAATGACCCACGACATGACTGCTCTTCTGACCTGTGAGCCATATAACCCCCATCCGTCTTTCGTTGTGTGTCCTTCTGGTACCACCCCGATCAGTATCCGTCTTTCATCTGAGAATTTGTTCCTCCCTGTGATTTCCTTCCAGTGGAATAACCACCACTTCCACCACTTCTGTGACCTGGGGCAATCCCACCACATATGCTTTGCGTCTTCAAAAAGCCAGTCGCATCTCCCGCATCTCCCGTCCACATTCTCCATTCCTCTTCCTCTCAGCCACATTGCAGTTGGCACCACCTGATGTGACTCCATCCACAACAGGGTTCTTCTTCACCGCTTTGTTTTTTTTCGGGCAGTTCGTTTGTTTGTTTGTTTGTTTTTCGGGCATTTTGTCGTAAAGGCTGCATAGGACCCCACATTTCTCCAGCAAAGAATTTTGTGCCAGAAATGAGACCCCACAGTTTTTTGCTTTATTTATTTATTTATGGAAATTTTATTGAACTGCCCCTAAAAGTTGGGGTAGTTCATCAGATACCCCTAAAACACGGGTACGCCGCAATGCGACAAACTTTTGCATCTGCCCCTGTCCCAGTCGTCGCCAAAATAGCCATTAGACATATGCCCTACGGTCTTCACCCGAATACAACGTACGCTCATGTTTCTGTATCTATACTTGAAAAAAGCTGCCCCAAATACAGCTATAATGGCAGGATGTTGTATTCGGGTAAAGACGGTAGCCCTGGACTGCAGGGGCCGTCGCGTTTCTCTTACCAACTGCAGGGTCCAACAGTCAGAAATATCGGGGCATATAGACAAGTTCCCCAGGGCTCAATAGGGGTATATGCAAGAGATGGCAGGTCCAGTTGCCGAGTGGGGTATTTCGCAAAGTTTCCTTTTAAGGGCATTTTAACATTTGGAAGAGATTCACACTTTCATCGTAAATAGAAGGACGAGGTCCAATGCTTCAAAACCTCACAGCACTCTTGTCCCACCAACAAAGAATTGCATTGGAGGCTTTCCCGACAACCCAAGTATTGGCAACATTACAAGCCATGGATGATGAGAAACACCAAGGCTGACTCCTTCCCAAAGGAGTTCTGGATCCACTTATGGGAATTCTTTCACGACGACCTGTTGGAGTACATCCATGCAGTTCAGGAAGAAGAGAGGTTTATGGAGCTCAATCATGAGTCAAGGGGTCACCACCCTGCTGTACAAAAAGGGGGACAGAGCAGAGATCCGAGACTATCGACTGATTACACTGCTCCCTCTCCCCAATAAGATGGTGGCCAAGGCAATCGCAATAGACTCCTTCCGTACATGGGACACCTTATCCATATGAACCAGACAGGTTTCATGCCCAAAAGGAACATCTCAGACAATATACTCCTGGTGAACGAGACCATTAAGTACGGTAGGCAGAGATGAACAGATGCTGCAATCCTCTTTATCGACTTTGAAAAAGCGTATGACCACGTGGACTGGCAGTTTCTGGATCTATGCCTAGAAAGAATGAACTTGAGACCGGGTTCGAGGCAATAAGTTAACACTCCATCACTCGCAACAACAAACGTTATGATTAATGGTCACCTCTCACCCCCGTTCCGCCTCCAGAGATCGGTAAGGCAAGGGAGTCAAATAGCCTTGTTGCTCTTCGTTATTATGATGGAGGCACTGGCCTCTATGATCAGAGCGGACATGACAATAGAATGAGTGGACAGTCTGGAACTGTCGTGGCATGTGATCCCGATTTCCTCATTGTTTGCAAATGACCTCACAATCCTCACCAAGGCCACGCCTGACAGTATGAATGCCCTGAAAAACACCATTCACCTCTTCTCCATTGCTATAGACATGAAGGTCAACTGGGGCCAAAACTGAGGGGTGGTGGATATACACAACAAGACAACCCCCCTCGACCAATTCACAAGTCAACTGGAAATCAAAGGAAGAGGCCATGCGAGTTCTGGGGGTGAATCTCACGGCCCCCCAAAGGATCACGCCGACCGTCTAGTCCAACCTGCAATCCAAGCCATGGCCAAATGGAAAGGCCTGCATACATTTCTGGTTGGAAGGGTCTTCGCCATTAATAACATCATCCTATCCACCATCTGGTATAAGAATGCCTTCTGGTCGCTACCCCCAAAACAGTTGGCGACACTGAAAGAGGCTAGTACGGCCTACCTTTGGAGAAACGACCACGAATTGCAAACATGCATTAAAAAGTCATGGCCAAATGGAAAGGTCTGCATGCATCTCTGGTTGGAAGGGCCTTGGCCATTAATAACGTCATCCTATCCACCATCTGGTATGAGACCGTCTTTTGGTCGCTGCCCCCAAAACAGCTGGCAACACTGAAAGAGGATAATACGGCCTACCTTTGGAGAAACGACCACGAATTGCAGACGTGCATTAAGAGGGTAGTCTGGTCCTAATTGGCCCAATCGAGGGGCAAAGGAGGTCTGACAATCATCGACCCCGCGGACAAGATCAAAGCACTGATTTTTAAGGTTCTTATCAGATTGCTGCTGGCCAATGACATACCGTGCCCCCCCCTGACCCATATTCAATTGGCCTGCGTAGCCCCCGCTACACCACACGACAGAGCAGTAGACCCTCTCGCCTGGCTCACGAACCTTGCGTGGTCAATTCCAAACACCCCAAAAACAGTAGACCGCGCATCCCTTGTGACGACCACAAGGTCTGATCTGACAAACGACCCGCTATGGGCCTCGATCATGTCCTGGTGGAGAGACATGGCCCACAAACACAGGCGCCTTCATCTCGATGGCACGAGATTTGAAGACAGCCATGGTCCGGTAACCCCAACATTTTCAACTCAAAAAGGCCAACTGTTCACTATAAAAGACGACTCACATTGTTTGGGTTGGGTTAAAAAGGGCATCTTCACCGTTGGAGACCTGTGGGATACACAGACAGGAAAACGGAAGTCTGCAGCCCATGTCAAATCCATACTGAAATATGTAAGGAACATGGAAGGCAAACTGCAAGAGTTGCAGGAAGCCATCCCGCTGGCATGGGTGACGACGCTTAGACACGGCCCCACCATTCAACCCGGGGATTGGGTAATCGAGCCCACTTCCCTTCCAGTCCCCATGGTTCTATATTAAGTCAACAACTGCTTGCAAACCCAAGCTGAACTCCACGCATATGAACCAGTGCTACCAGGGGCCAGAATGTCGAAGATGGCCAGAAATCAGGAGCTAGATAAAAACATGGCATGGTCGTGACTTATACGAGTAAAGACTATGGGGGATGACGAGGAAGGGTGGTGGGCTTATGAGTCAGCAACTCTCATTTGCTCGCTGCCATTTGACCTGGAAGAATGGGAAGGGGGGGTGCACAAACCGTTGCCGATGTGGAAGTACACACTGAAGGACTGCTACAGAAAGACTCACAAAACAATCAATACTGCTAACATAATAAAGAACAGATGGAAAAGAAACTCTTTCCTCAAAGAGGGAAATATGGAAAAGTTTAACTGGTACCATAATGCACGCCCCATTCCAACCTCCTAGAGAGCGCTTCAATGGCAGATAATCTACCGGTGCCTACCGGTGCCAGATTGGCTGGTGTCAAGGTCCCAGCTGGAACAGAAAGGACTATTGCCTCCCTTGTGCTCCTACTGTGGAGCATTGACCCAGAAACAGATTACGGATCTAGAGCACCGTCTGTCGGACGGCCCGATGGCAAATCGGATTTGGAGATGGCGGGCAGCAGCCTGGAAGTACCTCAGAGGCACTGTCTACTCCTGGACCAAACAGGAGTAGACAGTGCCTCTGAGGTACTTCCAGGCTGCTGCCCGCCATCTCCAAATCCGATTTGCCATCGGCCAGTCCGACAGACGGTGCTCTGAGGTACTGTCTACTCCTGCCCCAGGCCACATGGACTACCTTCCACTCAAACCTATTCAAGTATACAAGATTGGATTGGAAGTCCTGATGTCAGTGTGGTGGGCCAGCTGCGCCCCTGAAAGGCGGGAACACAGCTTCGCGTACCTGCAGGCAAAACAACACATCGTAGAAACAATAAGAACGAACACCCAAAAGGCCTGATCAAATCTGAAGCACACACTTAGGAATACCACAGACCGGGCAAAAAAATAAAGGAACTAACCACCGCCTTTCAGCAGACGTGGTTAGGTCCTGACCAGAAGATTGGGTCCCTGAACGAGAACCGCAACCTGCAGTGGAAGCGTGGTCGACAGATAAACGCAAGTGGCAGTGGGCGACGCGACCACCGCTCGCCCGAAGATCACCATGAGAACCACTGCTGGTTTCTCTTTTCCCTCCTGTCCCAACTCACCAACATCCAAGTATACAACAGCAGGACCGTGGACACGACTCACAACCGCCCCTCCCGGCTACACCACCCCCAATCACCCCACCTCCCCCCGTGTCACCCCCGCCTTCCTCATCGACTCCCCTGTCCCCACAGGACCTGCCCCCCTCCCAGCTGCTCCACCTAACACCCTCCCTCTTGCCGAAAGGGACCCCAATAACAACTCCAATGCCCCCCACGGACCTGCCCCCCAGCCATTTATCCCTCCTAACACCCCCCCGACTCCCCACGGACCTGCCTGCCCCCCAGGTCCTGACCAATAATTGGGATTGTGCTGCGCTGAGTTGCCTGGTGCTTCGCTCGGTTGCTGTTCGCTGCTATGTTCAGTTTGGTGACAGTCTGCCTTCCACAAGGGTCCAAGGGTGGATGACCCAAACCATCCATACAGGCATTCCGCAGATTGTTGAGGGTTCAGCCTCCTAATGAGACGATGCAACTCCCATGAAACAATCTTTCATCATCAGTTCTATTTTTTGCGATCTTTGCGATTTTTTTTGGGACTTGTATCTTTTACCTGGTTTGGCGGTTGGTGCCGTTCCCCTGGCTTTGTGTGTTTGTGTGTTGTCAATCCTTGTTGCTTCTTGGCTTGTTGGTGTCTTTTTGTTTTTCTTGTGGTTTCTCTGCCTTGTTGCTTCTTGCCTTGCTGCTTTTTTCCTTCGCTGCTTAGTACTGTTTGTCTGCCCACCACGTTGTTGCCTAGTTTTGGTTGTCTGCCCCCCCCCCGCCTCCCCCGTACCTTCCAGCCTTTATTCCTCACTGTTGCTTTTGTTTGTCCGAACTCTTGCCTCACCCTTTCTCTCTCAACCGTCAATCTGAGCGTCTGCCATGATGTGTCATTGAAGTCTGAAGTCCGTTCGTACGTTGGCATGCCAGTTTGAGGCTTGGACTACTGTTTTGGTTGCATATAGCCTTCGACGAGCTGTTTTGAAGAAGGTCATCTGGTGTGACGCATTCGTGCTGGGGTCTTATTATCTTACCACACACACACACACACACACACACACACACACACACACAGCTCTCCCCTACATCCTCTGTAATGACCTGCGTAGGATTCAGTGTCAGACATCTGCATTTTTCTCAAAGATTTTCTGCATCTGAACTGCTGTGCTGAGATTTCAGAGCTTCGTTTTGCTGAGATTTCAGAGCTTAGTTTTGCTTTTGCTGTGTTTTTTAGCATACATTTCTCGGCCTTTTGGCTAAGATCAAGTGTAGTATCTGTTCTGATTAGTTTACTATATAAAAAAAAAAAAAAAAAAAAAAGTTCTGCTCTGTTTTCTGAGTCTGTTTGCCCTGCTGACGATGTATGAACTTCCGTATGTTTCCGATGGCCTGAATGCCATGATCTCCGAGTCTGAGTCAGTTTTGCTGTATTACCTGTGTCCTAGTGCTGCGTTTGTGTCCCGGGAGGTGTAGAACGGCAAGCAGGTAGAGTTACAGGGGTAGAACTGAAAGTAGTTCTAGTGCTTCTTAGAGGAACTCCTAGGATGGACAGGGACGAATGTAGAGTTGAATATGGGCCCAGTAGGGATTTTTGAGTTACTTGGAGAGGTCCTGGAGTCCGGTAGCTTACAGGCAGTTCATGATCATACCAGGCCTGAATGTAGCAATGATTAGGACTAGATACAGGGTCCGCAGGTGAGTTACAGACTGAATGTTCTTCCCGCCAAAAAGGGTAGGAGCACCCCGGTAGGAGGCTGAAATACCCAGGTAGGTGGGAAGGGAGGCCAGAGAGGCAAGTACGTATAACTTTGTGCAGCGAGTAGTCCGGGCATTCACCCAGCAGTCATGCTACTGCTCCACCCTGGGAGGAGAGTGCGGCAGAGCACAAGGTGGTGGAGGAAGGAGGAGCTGAGGGTGAGGAAGAGTATAGGGAGAAGGACCTCAAGCTAGGATATGGAGGTATGTGGAAGAGGAGAGCAGAGGTGGGAAGGAACCGCCAAGAGAGACTTAACCTTTGGCTATGGCGGACCTTCATCTCCACTCCCTTGGAAGCCCACCACTGGGGTACTGGTTGGGAATGGACTTCATCAGGGACTGTGGCTATGGGGGTAAGAGAGTGGCTATGGCGGTAGGAGATGGGAGAGGTGTGGTAGTAGTTGTGTTCCCTTTCAATATCCACGCTAGGCATGGATGAACTGCCATAGCTGGTTATGCAACGATGAGGAGAGTAGTGAGAGAGAGCCCTTAAGGAGAGCTCTCTGAGTGCTAGCTGGCTAGCAGCAACGGTAGTAGGATGAACTGCCCTAGCAGGCCGTCTTCTTTCATTCTTCATTCTTCTTCTCCTCCTGGTCCAAATATGTCATTGGTTCAACATTCTTCTTCTTCTTCTTCTTCTTCTTCTCCTCCTCCTCCTCCTCCTCCTCCTCCTCCTTGGTTCAACATTCTTCTTTTTCTTCCTCTTCTTCTTCTTCTTCCTCCTCTTCTTCCTCTTCTTCTTCTTCTTCTTCTTCTTCTTCTTCTTCTTCTTCTTCTCCTCCTCCTCCTCCTCCTTCTCCTGCTCCTTCTCCCTCTCCTTCTCCTTCTTCTCCTTCCTCTTCCTCTTCTACTTCTTTTCTTCTTCTTTCTTTTTCTTCTTCTTGCTTCTTTCGTCTTCTTTCTTCCTTCTTCTTCTTCTTCTTCTTCTTCTTCTTCTCGTAGTCTAAATTCACTTTTTCTTGAGTTGCAAATCGCTATGTATCACACCGTCTCAAAGTTGGGTTGTGCATCATGAACTGAGCAGGATCATCGCACCTCACCATATCAGTCGTGGAATAAGACATCTACAGGACATTGTAACTCTGCTCATATCTGCACAGAAGTCGTTGAGGATTGAGCAATACAAGTAGCAAGAGGTCAAGTGTACATACGCTATACGAGTGCATCCGCAAAACCCGCTGCACCCGACAACAAGTAGAAAGAGCATAGAGAACACACTATTGATTGGCATATATATCTACGGACCTCAAGCAAACATAACTAAGAGGCCAGATGTCAAGGGGACCGACCCTTCTCCTGAAAAGAAATGAGGCAGAGGTGCAGGGAATTCCATTTGTACCCCCCAGTCAAAATGCCGAATGTGCATATATTCATTTGTACCCCCCAGTCAAAATGCCAAATGTGCATGTTCATTCTCCAATTGTCTTCAGGATAATACAGCAGAAAGACAGTGGCAAGGCAGCCAGGAGCTTCGTTTCACTGTCTCTCTCCCTTTGTCTCACCTTTCTCTCTCCCTTTGTCTCACCTTTCTCCCAGTCCGTCTTCTGGAAAGATATGTGCAACAAGAACAAGTGGAGAGACTGTCATCCTTGGCCTTCGGTAAGGTGAACTGAAGCGTAAACGCATCGAATTTGACACACAATACAAGTTGCCGAAGGACAGAGCACGTTCCCCATCCAGTGATTTTTTTCAATCGTAGACATCCCAACTCACGTCTTTAAACCCTTTAACAGATTTAAGAGGATCCCATCTTAGGGTCGAAAGACCAACAGCACATAATCATGTGCCAATGATCGTCAGGATAACACAAAGGAAAGACAGTGGCAAGGGAGTCACGGAGTTTCAGATGCCCACTCTCTCCCCCCCCCTTTGTCTCACCTTCCTCCCAGGCCCAACTTCAAATCTATCTCACTACTCGAAACATTACATATCAAACCCCATCCATCTATCTATCTCTTAACTACCCCCCCCCCCCCCCCCCTCTCCCCGTCTCACCGTCCTCCCAGCCCCAACTTCAAATCGATATCACTACTCGAAATACATTACATATGAAACCCCATCTATCTATCTCTCAGCTTGTCTCTCCCTCCTCCCTCGCCCTCCCTCTCCCTTTCAACCTCTCAAGCCGACACCAATGCGAGGGTTCGAGGCCACGAGCAATTTGTCATTTACCATTCGTTACATATAGACAGCAATGGCAGCACCACAGATGAGGGCATACTCACACTACCACTTCTTGGAATGTATGTGACCGCAAATGCGGCCAGACGTGGATGCACCTGACCACAATCGCGTCCACACAGCGGACTCGGAAATGTCCTTGTGTGAGTACGCCATGAAGCTCCTGGTCAGAGGCAAGGGAGAACATCACCCTCCTAAAAGACCCCTTCAAATGACTAAACCGAGTCCGTCCAGGTGCCAGGAAGGATCGAATCGGTGATGGAGCAAGTTGCTAAGAGGCAGCAGCTCTATGAAACTCCTAGCTCGCTCCCAAGCCCCAAACGCCCTCCTTCCTTCGCTCCCCTCCCCCTCCCCCTCCCCCTCCCCTCCAATGCCTTTCTCTCTTCAGAGCATATCCCTGCCAATCCAATATGTGTCACTTCCTATCTTCCTCTTTTTTAGTCCCCATCTCCCGTCCCAATGTACACGTGTATTTGGTGCCCATCTCCCTTCCTAATGTACATATGTAGCCTCCATATCAGCTACACCCGACGCAAACAATAAAAAAGAGCAATGAAACATGTGGCGGCAGCAGTATCTCTTACACTATTCCCTCCTACAAAACGGCGGCAGCAGTACAGAAGCTGGTGATATTCCTCACTGAACGCCCGATCTGTCCTGCGCAAGCAACATATGATATTACCTCTTGCGAATTGCTATATACAAATCCAAGGACCACAACATAACCGGCCCTAGTTCCTCAGTCTTATCTAAACAGACCTACCACTCCTTTTCTCAACTAGGTCTCTGTATTCTGAAGTATTTTCCAACGGCCGACAAGGAAAGCTCTACTACGCAGTTGTTGGTTTCCTCGCACCATGCTCTTCAATGACGACGAACAAAACCAGACACCCCCTCCCTAAACACTGTCTAGTCGTTTATCTCACTCTATACGACATGCAAGATGCCCACAAACCTAAACCTCCCAATAACCTGACCAGGGAGTGGATGGGGGTAATGTCCTACAGTCAGGTTGCTGCATTCCAAACACACACTAAAGCGTCCACCCGTAACCCCGAAACCCTAATCCCCTGAGTCAGTATCAACCACGATGAGGACGTCTGCTAAACACAGACAATGGTCCTATTATCTCCCATAGTCACATTAAAGCCTCCAACCCTAAACCCTAACCTGAGACAACATCAACCAGGGTGAGTATGTGTGCTAACCACAGACAGTTGCCTTGGTCTCTACTCTTTGAACACAGCAGGGAAGGAGGGCCAGTTGGACATCAACTCCTCACACAGACGCCCGCAAGAAATCCATGTGAGAAGTAAGAATGCCAAGCACTAAGCAAGTCAGCATAGCCGTGCTCATTTCATTTCTACATCCTTCAGGTCCGCCATACTACTTATGATGACCACAGAGTCAATGAGCTACTGACAACCACAACGTCAATGAGCTACTGGATGTACTACTTGAACGTTATCTCAAATGTGCGGATCTGCATTGGGCACAGGAGAATGTTGTAAGGCTTTTTCTTATCGTTCTTCGAGAGGTACTCGTCTTCGCTCGAGACGCTCGGCATTCTCAGCGATGTCTCTTCTTCCTCTCCTTCCACTCTCCACGACAGCGGTTGCCTCTTTCGCTTCGTTTGGTTTGCAGTCAACGTGGTCTCCGTCATCGACTTCACTTTCCGTCTTCCGTGTTTGTTCTTGAAAATGGGCGTGATGTCGACATATGTGCACTTGGAATTGTCTGGATGCTCGTCCACCTCGTACAGATGCGCCAGCCTGAGCAAGGCCACCTTTTTTGATATTTCCTGCAGCGTCATGAGCGCCACGTTGGACGGAAACTCGCGGAACATGCCACCACCCTCTAACGCCATCCCCGAAAATCCTTGCGCGACTGTTCTGCCGACCGTTTCAGTTCCTGATGCCTCCTCCAGCTGCTCCACACTTTGCGGTCCAGTGATCAGAAAAGCCGGGAGCAAAGGGCTGTACACATTCTGTGCTTCTGTCCTGCGCCACCTCGCAGCCGCCACAGATTGGTTCAGATTTAAATACAACTTTCCTCTCACAACGAGGCCTTGACAGACACCACCTGCACAAACTGTTTCGTTCAGGCATTCCCCCACACCTCGCTGATCATCGACCAAGAGTCGCCTGTGAAGCATAAGCTCCAGTTCGCCGTCGTGTAGACTCGCCCCACCCAGAGCACGGTCTGTGAGAATCGAGAAATCGCTACTTTCATTGCCGAGGTATATCGCTGCACCCACTGGGTAGTAGTTCCCTGCCACAGGTTCCGTGACATTCAGGTCCCATGTGGGACGGTAGTTGATCTTCCGCTTCAGCATATCGCGGCCGTTGGAATCAGTGTAAAATGTCCCATAACTAGCCAGATCAGAGCTGAACCTGGTGATGACCTCCTTCCCCAGACCATCACCGATAGGAATCGGCCCCACTGTGTACTCCACCTCTGCATGTTCTTTGCCTTTGTATATTCTGATGACCTGTGACGCCCAATCCGAAAACCTCTGCCGTACCTCCGTCACAAGCGGTCCCTTCACAATGGTCGTCTTCACTGACACATTCTGTCCCCCAACAGGGAAGGCCACGGATCCGTTCGGCCGGAAGATGTATGCTCCCGAGGCCTGACCAGGCTCCTCAACTGTGTTTCCACTGCTTCCGTTGTACCACAGAAAGGAATTGTATAACTCCACGGACACACCGTTCTTCAGTTCGCTGATCCTCTTAAGCCGTCCTGTGTCCTTAGCAATTGAGACCTGCAACATGTCATTCCCAACATCAACCGTTCCCGCAGCTGAAGCATCGTTATCCAGTTGCTCGACAACTGACATGGTCGCCAGATCAGAGACGTTCACAGCTGGCTGTATAAAATACGTTGCGATCCCAAGCGCCGGGACACGAGCCTCAAAGACAAGCTCAAAGAGAGTGTTCCCTTCGAGTAACTTAGTACCGGTGTACGCCTCCACGTGAAACGCTCGCAGCTTTTCTTCGTCTGCCTCCACGGGGACCACCTGGGATGGCACCGGCATTCCCTGAAGATCCTCGACGTGGACGTTCACACTTGTGACTGGGAATCTCACAACCTCGGTACGATGCCAGGCGAGTGGGTTGTATAGGAGCACCACGAGGGATGTCCCGTTCGAAAGTTGTGTCTCTGTCATGGGGCAGTAGGTGATGTTCAATAGTCTGCACTGGGAAAGGAGGGGGAACAGAGGGTGACCCGTCCCACCAGAGTCCTCCATGCTAATAACACTTTCGTCCAGCATCGTCCTCCGGTCCTCTGCATCCTTCTCGAACAGAGTCAAGCGCAGGAATGCCCGGGTCACTACTTGTTCGGCCTCTGCCTCTCCTATGGCAAGCCTCTTTGCATAGTCGTCAGCCACGTGTTGCTTCGACGTGCCGCTCACCGCATCGTGATGCTGGCTGATGGCCAACGCCTCTTCCAACGCATCCGTCGTCACTGCTCGGTCTCGACCCAGAAAGAACTCCAGCTGCCTTGCAGCCTGCAGATACCCACTCAGTGACCGAACGTACCCCTTCAAAGCTGTTCTGCTCGCAAAATAGCCGGTCCAGTACGAATTCGCAGAGTTCGCATACGGAAAATAGTCGTCTTCCTTGAGAGGCCAGCTCGCATCCGCAGCATGCTTCGCATGCACATAGATCGATGGCGTGGAGTAGAAAACGTTGATCCTCCCATCGCGGTTCACGTGATGGATCAGTTTGTCGAGCTGCTTGAACCACGTGTTCGCATTTTCATACGTGAAATCCTCTCCCATTGTGAGCATGACATGATCGGTACGGAATTGAGAGGCCTGCTCGAGCACACTTTCCACAAACGAGTCCACGCGTTCAAGCACGTTGTAATCAAACAGTTCGGGATCGTCCTGAATGGGTGGGTACGGAGCATTTGTCTCGAAATTGAAGCCATGCGGCGGACTATACTGGTGATGCAAGATACCCGCGAAGGTCTGTGCCGAGGCCCCGAGGGATTTGGAGGCTCTCCAGATGACTTCCATCGATTTCTCTCTTCGCCTTTTCTCAATATCTTGGTAATCCGCCCGCCCAAAGAACACCGCGTCAAGGCCTGCCTCGGCAGTCAACAGCGACGCCTGAACCGACGAGTGTCCAAACGGATCGATCTGCCATCCAATTCGCGGCACAACCCCAAACTGCGACTTAATGAACCGGTGCCCAAGAGTCGTCTGATCAACCATATCGACGTAGTGCGTCGATGCCTCGTCATGCATGCACCACCCACCATTTATGAACTCCAGCTGCCTTCTCTCAACAAGCTCCTCTACTTTTTCTTTCATGCGCGGGCTTTGCTCTCCCCACCAGCGCTGGAAGAAAGCCTGCTCCACATATATGAACTTGCGATCCCTGTTTTGCAACAGTGATTCTACCACCGAGTCCAGAATGTACTGCACTGCTGCCACCTGGATGGAGTTGTTGGAGCCCACATAGTACTGGTCCACCGTCTTAAGCCACCCCACATCATCATGTGTGTGGCAGACCAAGTGCGCATTGATCTTGTCATACACAGGGCGGGACGTCGTGTTGTACGTGACAATCCGCGCATTCACACTTCCCATCAAACATACTGTGTGGATGATCACTGCAATAGTAGCGATTCGAATGGCGGTGTTCACCGAGGGCAGAACCCCAACTTGAAGAGGGACCGCCATAGTTTTATCCTCTCTCTCCTTGACGGAAAGCTCTCCTCTCCTTTCAGCTCCTACGCACACATTTGCTTCTAGATTTCCTCTTGTTTACACATCGAGACATGTATGCCGGCAACCTGCACGGCATAGACACCAACACCCAGCGAACGACACTTAGTCGCCCAAGGAACGTCACTCGATGATTTTTGAAAGTTCCTTCAGATCAATCATTCGCCCATCTCGTCCCGTCGGCCCTGACTTGGCCAATGATTAGCCATGCACTTTTGGCACTGTTTCCAATACTCGTACAAACAATGACTTACCTTTAACACTCAATCAACACTTTTCACTTTTCTTTTCCATCCTTAAGGGGGAGTAGCCCTGAAGATTTTTGTATCCATCAGTCAGGATTGACACTTGTGATTGGCTTGTTAACGGTCAGTTGCGTGTACCAATCGGCCAAAGGCCAGGGACGCTTTTCACTTTTCGGCACTGCAGCTCGTCAAGCTTGCGACAGTATGATTTCTCCCATGAAAACCTTACAAGGTGCGGGAGGAGGGAAGGGGAGAAAGGAGCACTGTGATTCCAATGTGCGTTACAGGTTCGCAAGCTGAACAGCACTGAAACAGAGAGGGGACGAAACACAGACATGCGCACACATGCACGCACGCACCGACCCACCCACACCC